CCCACCCAAGTGACTACGGACGCTTCGGGATACGGTATTGGTGCGGTGTTGGAATAGTGTCACGAGGACGATTGGCATCCGGTCGAGTATTTCTTCCAAAAGGTGCCTCTCGTCAACACTCTCGACGACGCTAGGAAGAAAGAGCTACTCGCGTTCGTCACCGTTCTCAAACGGTGGCGCAACTTTCTTCTCGGCCGTCGGCGTTTTAAATGGAATACGGACAACAATCTGTTGACCTTTTACAAAACGCAGGATACGGTCACTAGCACGATTGGCCGATGGATGTATTACATCGACCAGTTCGACTTTGACCCGTGCCACATCCTCGGTCCCGCCAATCGAGCTGTGGACGCCCTCTCACGACGGCCCGACTTTTGTGCCATTGTGACCACGGCATTCGACCTCGATGACGATCTGCAGCCGCATTTCGTCAAAGGCTACAAGTCCGATCCGACTTACTCTACGCTTTGCGCGGAGCTTTCATCGGATCACCCVCCGGCTAGCCACTATCGGATTTCCGACGGGTTCCTCCTCCTTCACACGAGAGGAAAGGACTTGTTAAGATCGCATCTTACGGACTCGTCTTCTCGGCGAATTCCATGACGCACGACTTTCGGCACACCTTGGCGTGAACCACACATTAGCACGCCTCCGCCAGCGTTTTCACTGGCCCGATGTCCTTCATGACGTCACGGGGTACATTGAGTCATGTGCAGTTTGCCACCGTAACAAGGGTCGATCTCAAGTCCCCTTCGGCGAACTGAAACCATTGCCGATTCCTCGGGCACTGCGCCTCTCCATTGCTATGGACGTGACACGCCCGTTCCCCTGGGATCGACATGGCCATGACGGTATTCTCACGGTTGTTGATCGTTTGAGCAAGTATGCTCACTTCCTTCCTTGCAATTATCATGCTGCAGCGCCTGAGCTCGCACGACTCTTGCACACCGGTTGGATTATCAACCAGGGTGTTCCGGAAGACATAGTGAGCGACCGAGATACTCGCTTCATGTCGGCCTTTTGGACTTCCCTCATGGCTGAGTCCGGTACGACAATGAAGCCGAGCTCGTCTCGGCACCCGCAGACGGATGGCCAGACGGAGCGAGCGCACCAGACCGCTCATATGATGTTGTGTACGCTCATCTGTCCCGACCAGAAAGATTGGGTTGACCGGCTTCCCGACGTCGAGTTTGCCTATAACACTTCGGTGCACCCGGCGATCTGCGTCACACCATTCCAGCTACATCATGGTGGAGAGAAAGCACGGATCTTCGCTGATCTCCTTTTGCCACAGGCTGCCGACATAGACGTCCCTTGCTCTCCCGCTTCCGTTCGGAAGTACCGGGACTTGCTGATCAAAGCCCACGCAAATATGCAAAAGGCTCAGATCCGCATGCAGCAGCAGGCTAACCGACGTCGACTTCCATGTCCTTTCCGCGAGGGAGACCTTATTTGGGTCCTCTCCGAGGAATTCGCGCTCGAGCAGGACGTTTCGTGCAAACTCCTTCGAAAATGGTTCGGACCATGGGAAGTCACTTCTGCCGTTGGAGACGATCCCGCAGGTCCTTCCTTCGTGATCAACATTCCACCGCACCTGACAGTGCATCGGGTCTTCCACGCATCGAAGCTGGCCATCTACACACCACCTTCAGATGACGAGTTTCCCGGACGTCGATCACAGGATCCGCCTTCTATGGACGGACATCACGAAGTCGACCGAGTCATCACACATCGCAAGTATGGCAACAAGCCAATGCAGTTCAAAGTCACATTCAAGCAATGTGCGCCTGATGACACTCGGTGGATCTCCAGTAGAGATTTGCAGACTTTTGCACCCCTTATCTTCACCGACTATGAGAAGCGACGCCTTGCTAAGGAAGCAGCTCGTCCCGCTCGACCCACCCCGGTATCGGACAGACAACTTCGCCCTCGCAGGTAGCTCGGTCTTTTAAGAGGGGGAGTGCGTTACATCTTGGACACCACACGGGTCCTACCGGACCCGACTTAGGGTTAGAGGGACACAGTAGGGCCTAAAGGCCCGACCTTGGGGGTACTACAGGCCGTAAAGGCCTCACTTTGGACCAGACCCGACGGGCAGGCCCAAACGACATTACTGTTTGAGCCTGGCGGCGCTCTTGAGGCTGCCGCCCACCGGTTGGGGCTGAACCGTCCATCTTGACGGTTCAGGGCACGGCCAGGCCTTGCAGCATTGAGGCCGGCCTCTGCCCCACCAGTACAAAAGTACCGGTCCGGCCTCATTCAGGCCATCGACCCACCGGCACTCTAGCGGTGTGGTATGGTACGGCGCGACAGCGCTGGCGCTATTCTTAGCGCAGGAGCACGAGGAGCAGCGGCAGTGCAGCAGCAGCGAGCAGCAGCAGCGGCGACTGAGCACATCGGCGGCCATAGCCGCCTGAGGTATCGGGAGTCGGAGGTTCTCTCCTCCCTCCCATCGCCAGTCCCCTCTCTCTCTCTCTCCTCCTCGGCTCTCTTCTTCTTCTTCTTCTTCTTCTTTTTCTTCTTTTTCTTCTTCTTCTTCTTCTCTTCAGACTTCATCTTCTTCTTCTTCTTCTTCTTCTTCTTCAGATTGGAGACTTATACTAGTTGGACAGAGATCAGAGTTGGACTTCGGTGGCAAGAGGCTGTGGTACTTACCGGGTTCAAGACTTGGAGATTGTTGGGGATGATACTCGGCTGCATCACAGATTTGACACCGGTTACATTAGGATTCTGTATCTCCGACATTGGTGACTTATTGTCCTCGACATTTTGATCTTGTTCGATGACATTTTGGATTACCATATCGGTGACCTACTGGTTTCTATCTCGGTGACATTTGGTGCTACCTACATCTCCCACCTCCTTCGTCTCTCCTCCCACCTTCATCTGTGCATGTGTGTATGGGGCTGAGCATCGTCCATGTATGGCTCTGACCCCACCATCTCACGATTGTATGTGTGTGGAGTGATATCTATGTGAGTCAGTCTATGTGAGTCAGTCCGTTTATCAGACTTCCGCTGCATATATGCTCATCCTACATTAGTCGATCTTTGGTTCTGCCCATACTCATTGAAGTATGTAACACAGGCGCAGTTGTCTCAATTTTTTGTTTTGTTTTTGTTGGTTGTTTCCCCGCGAAAAAATCTCTGTGAAGAAAAACCCACCCATTTCATCTTTTTTTTCATTTTTTTCTTTGTTTTTATGTTTTCGCTAAAAAAACTTGAGCGCCGACCGTGCGCTCAATCAGTGTGCGCGGTTACACAAAGTCCACTGCCGTCCACGCATTCGAACGTTAGCCTGCGCTGCCATCGATTGCCATAATTGAGTGGTCACTGTGCCGCTGCGCCGTGCATTAGTCACATATGTGTCGCACTGTCGCCGTGTTGGGTTTGCCGTGTGCAGTTCCACGTGGGGAGTCATGTGGTTCATCGCCCTCTGTTCCGACGTCGTCGATGGGGTGTGTGTGTGTTTGTGTGCCTGTATCACCTGGTGTGTGTGTGCGTGTGTGTGTGTGTGTCACCGGATGTGTGTGTGTGTCACCTGGTGTGTGTGTGTGTGTGTGTGTGTGTGTGTGTGTGTGTGTGTGTGTGTGTGTGTGTG